GAGAATTTAGGCATACATTCCCTGATGTAGTCGTGAATGTCTTTAACCCACGACTTCTGAACTGAACAGAAGTACTGATATTCGATAGGATTGGTTAGGAATCGATTACGTCTGTCTCCGATCACAAACAGATTACTCCCGCTTTCGTCCAACAAAACCAATTTACTTGTATTGCATTCAAAACTTGTTGTTGAATACGATCTCACCGTTAATAGTGTCGTCAATAAGAGCCACTTAGACAGCAATTCACTCATTATTTGTACAAACAATACGATAACACAATAAATAGACTATTGATAGCGTTCACCATTTACGTCAATTACTGAACTAGTTGTTTATTTATTACTTGTGTTAATTATTATTCATTGCAAACGTGTTTTCAATAAACTAATTAAAATGTATTCTTTAATTTATATTTTAATCGTTTGCACATTCATTTTACACTTTTAACATAATTAACTTTTTATAATTAAATTTACTTTAAATAAACTGTAAAATTATTTTGAAATCCAATATAAATTTATACAAACATTTTGCCACAACTGTATTTTTAATTAAAAATTACTTTATAAAATATTTTAATGTAAATACAAATTATAATACAAATTATAGACAAATTCTTTCTCATTCACATAACAATAGTATAAAGAGATTAGAGATTTTGAGAGGAATACATGATTTTATAAAATGCGATAATCTATACTGTTATATGTTATATGGACTGTCAATCGTTGTTTTCGAGGGAATCAAGTGTTTCGTTAACAAATTGGTTGAAATAATGGGTTAAATCTTTTTGATCGATAGGAAACCTATGCTCTAAACTGAACTCAATTATGTCGGGAATGTATGGCAGACAAGTAATGAGCCCTAAGCCGAGCGACACTTTGGTTATGGAGCCAAAACCGAATAGCGTTAGATTGACTGACTTTGAGAATATGGTAGAATTCAAGTGCTGGTACTCCACATTGAACTCCATTGATCTCTTCTCATATGGTGTACACGTGACGTATTCTTCGATCAATTTCTTGCTCTTATCCGACATTACGCTCACATCTGAGGCCGCTTTGAACGCGATGTACGAGAAGATGACAAATAACATTGTGTTGCAACCGATGAACGTATAGTAGACTATGTTATAAATTAATATATTTTGAAAATTCTTGTCTATCTTGACGTTTGTGTGCAATATTATGCCAAATATCGAGACTATTATATTCAATGCTATCGATATGTAAAATGTGACAATAAAAATGTTGAACGTGTCGTCAAATTTCATAATTTTTGTCTGATTGTGTTTATACCTATGATATAAAATTATACATCAATTAAACAATAAATTGTTAAAATATTGCATAATATGTTAAGATAATGAAGTAACTAATTATAATCATTATAAATTTAATAGTGTATCATCCAATAATTATAAATTCAGTTCCATGCTTAAATATTATTAATTAGTTTGTTATATTTGTTTAATTTGCATAGATATGGGATTAGAATAATAATTGCTTAAATGTTATACCATTTGGAGATAGTATACAACTGTTCAACAGTTGTGTTCTTCGTTTCAATTAATGATTTGAGAAATTGATTTAAATGTCGAAACTTATTGCTGAAGACGAGACAAAAAGCCAAATAAATTAATATATTGACCGTTACAATGAAGATATTCATAAACATAAACAAATTTAAGACTCTCTCAATATTGAGAACTGAAAAGTTAATAATCATTTCTATATAGAAGTATAAATTAAAAACTATAGGAAACAAAAATAATTTGATAAATTCATGTAATTTTGGTATTGAATAGATTTTGTAGAAATGCTTAATGAATGTCAAATGCAATGGTATTTTAATGTCGTAAAGCATGTATTGAATGGACTTGTGGTCCATTTGTTGGCAGCCTTTGAGGGTTTGGTCAGTGGTCTCACACGTGCCCTCAAGTAATGTTGAGTTTCGGTAGTAATAACTCGAGTCTATGGCCACACACGCAGACAAACTCCATATGAGTTGCACTATTTGTTGACATAATTCCGATACGTCTTTATTAATCCAAACTAATAGATAGACGAGGGATGAGATGTTGAGAACCAGACATATGTGTATTAAAAGCCAACAATAGATTCTGTAGTAAAGCCATAGGTTTTTGTGTTTATCCAATAATAAGCGAAAAATATCGTTAGGTTTGAGCCATTGATTGAGTGGAGCGCCGAATCCCACGAAGAATATAATGACATTCCGTATTAATCGGTAGAAGACTTTGTGAACTCTATCCGTACGAAACACATTCTCGTCCATTCGTATGCTATCATCCGCTCCTGAAATCAGCAATTATTCATTCAATTCTCATTCAAATATACAATTAGTATTTCATTTATACTTAAAAATCTTTTTCTTTCCATTATTATAATTTCAAACTATAAATAAAAAGCATTTATTAAATAATTTATATAAACTTAGAGATATCTATACTACTGTATATATTTATCAAACCTTTTCCGTATATAATTAGTTGAAAACTATTTATGACATAAATACCAATTCAATTGTTTCCCAAAACCATAAAATACAACATAAACTTGAAATTGATATAAAATGTTTGTCTAAAACACTACTTATTATATCATTACAAAATTTTATCACAATTAAAACATTGCAATCACAAGACTAACAATTAAGTAATAATTAATTAATAGATTAATCTTATCACAAACCACTGGTTAATATATCCAAAATATAATTCATTTATTTTCACGTAATAACAAAATACTGTACTCAATAATTGTTTGATGGGTTAAAACTGAAACAAAACAAATCGTCTTCATTTGGACTTTATGTTTATTTAAATCCTCGATACAATCGTATGAATAAGCAATTAATAGTTAAATCAATATTTTTAAGAAATATCTACAAACTGTGTACTGTATTTGTGTTATCGTTTATTTTGTATTTAGAGTAAACAATATTAAGTTAGTATTAATTTATTGTCAATTTGAGGTGAATTGAGATAAGTTTACAGCAATTAGTTTCAGTTAGAAAATCCTAACTGTTATTAAGTATTGCCGATAAATCAAGAATCTACCTCCTATTTCCACCCTATCGTTACCTAATGTTAACTTTAAATAATAATTGAATATAAAATCTAATTATACTGTACAATACTGTACTTAATAGTAATTCATGGAATAGATTAGATTTATTGAATTAATAAATATAGCAGAAATAATTGTTTTATCATTATTTGATGTATATGTTTAATGTACTGTACAGTATAAATAATAGTTTACTAATTTATTTTTAGATAAATTAACTATTTACTCTATGTTTTAAATTTATCAATAAATCATTGACTTTACTATTTACTAAATGTATATAAAAGACTAAATTCTTTAATGTTTTAACAATATTTACATATTATTTTAAATATTTCAATACAATTATTAGAAAGTATTTTAAAACATATAAATTTGTGTTATTTCTAAAGTAAAAATATTAATGTATTTATGTCTAAAGTACTGTATGTAGGGTGACCATATGTCCAGAAATGCCTGGATTGTCCAGAAATTAGGTAGTATGTCCAGAAATTGTAAAATATTTTTAACATTATGTCTATGAAGATGTTCAGTACAAATAAATTCAAGGGAGCTAAAAGTCCAGAAAGGATTTTAGGATGTATAGGATTTTAATATAGATTTTTAGTTAAAATCCAGGATTGTCCTGAATTCATCTGGTCACCCTAACTGTATGTGTACAATTATAAAGTACCGGTAATAAAAATCGATCAAATATTGCTAGAATAAAAACTAATCCAAACTATAAATATAAAACACTTAAAATGATATGACTTTTCTGTTTTATAAACAACAATTAACTCCTTAAAGGATTAATAATAAAACTGTAGATAAATTATTCTTATTTTTACATTTAAAAGTGATTTGTTTAAAAATTTTGTTCATTACTTCAATCCTCAATTTAAAATAAAAAGTTTATAATATTTTAAAATTCAATATTTGAAATTCAATTGTGATCATAATAACAATACTCACTTTTCATTTACATTTTGTATTAACTTATACTTTGAAATATTTTGTTTAATTAAAATTCATACTTTGAATATTTATTTTGTATAGAAAATCGTTTAATTTTCTATTCAATACACGAATACAATGGAAGAGACAGTCAGTCAGACATACAGACAAACATAAAGTGAAAATGAAATGAATTAATATTTGTGCAAAATTTTCTTTCAAAAAATTCTTTTCTATTAGAGCCTCAAAAAAGTGGTTCATTAAAGGCTTTTAAAAGCAAAATCTATTTATCTTTATGAATAGCAGTCAGTATTGAATTGACAAAATGTTTTTGTTTGAAAATAAATGATTGAAAAAATTGTTATTTTTAGTCCGTCTGTTGGAAGTGATAAGAATTTTGTTTATATATTCATTTCTATTTCAAACAATAGTAACTTATTTGAAATTTGTTGAGCTTTAAGATAATATCAAACAATTAGTTTAGAGTTATATCAACTATAAGAGCAATAAAAAATATTAAAATATTAAAACTAATAAACAGTACAAACAGTATAACACAATTACAGTTTATGTCCATTTTAAATTTATACCACATTCCAAAATATACACATTATCTTATACTACCCATAAGAACCATCGATGCATTTCCGGGTTATACTATATTTATTTCAATTAGTCAATGGTTTTTTGAATTTTACAATACATTCTATTAAATTTAATTATGATTTGCAAAAATATAAATAATTAATTTATGAACAATGAACAAATCTCTAAATTTAATACAATTGGTGTGTAATTATTATGAACATTGACTTATAAATAATATGTTATGAATTTGTGCTTAAATGTGACGTTTAAAATACTTGTATATTTAGTTTTAATATAATTATTGAAATTAACGTTTAATTTTTGTTTTTATATTAAATTGGTTCTTTTAATATGTACTTTATTTGTTTGTCAGTTATATAATTTTTACATTTATGTTATTTAAACTAATTATTATTAATAGACAAACATAATATATCATGTATAACAACTTTATATCACATTTCAATGCTATACTTACAACATAAGAATATTGTGATTATAATTTGGTTTTAATTTGATGAATATTTAATTGAAATTAAAAACTACATTTATTTGTAAAATATATTTTAGAACTTATAACAGGGTAGAGGTCATCAATATGACAACCAGAATTGATTGATTGTAATTTAAATATGATGGCATCGTTAGACAATGTTCCTGTTCCTGACAATGTTAGACAATGTGTGTATTGAGCCATTTAATGATTTAAAGTGGTATATGTGGTACCTTTATTAAGGCTCTTAATTTAATTAATTCAATTCTTATTGTAAAAGTTCGCTAAAAGGGTAGTCGGCTTTACCCAGAGTTAATACGGACGCAGACCATTCCGCGTGAGTCTAATGGACAACACTAGTTGTGCCATTGATTTGCCAACAATACACGAATATAACGTGTATTTGCATAACACGGCTGTATTAAGAATCAGCCTTAGGTTGGATGTGTTGTGTATAAATAAGAACAAATTCAATTCAATAATACTGTATAAAACAAATTGATACTGTTTCAAAAAGCATAAGATTAAATATAATCATAAAAATAAGTTTATATATACAGCCTGTATGTCAACACTTTGTTAAATGACTGCATTATATTTTCAAATTACTTTTAAATGTTATTTTCACAATAATTATTGTTTTACACAATTGTAAATATTTATTTATTTTAATAAATTAATGTCAGACAGCAATACACCAATACTTTAAAAATCTTATTTTACATTTGAAGTCTTGAACTTCAAATAACTTGTGGTTTCTATTGATGTGGAATTCTTGTATATGTCTTTCTTTTACCATTTTAGACATTTGCTAAGAAAGACAATAAGTTAGAGAGAGAGAGAGAGAGAGAGAGAGAGAGAGAGAGAGAGAGAGGGCAAAGTTGTATTGAAGTGGTGAATCGGTAGTTGAGTAGTGGACACATCTATTGCAACGCCCGGTTGTGTCGCTTGAGTCCGATTAAGAGAGTGAGAGTGAAGAACAGATATTTCATTTCCTACTACTATATCGTTAACTATTTTGTCCAACAATTCGCTTAAATGTAATGTCTATTTGATCATCATTTCAACTCAAACATCATTTCTATCCATCAATTCCCATAAGAATAATACTCTACAATATAAGTCGGATTAACGCTCACTCACAGCATCTCTCTCTCTCTCTCTCTCTCTCTCTCATACTGTACTTATTTTTTATTTTTCATAAAAGCAATTGAAGAAAATTCACTTAAAAAGTCTAAAGACATATAAATGCAGAAATAATATTAACAGACATTAGCGTATAGTTTAAGCATTTTTATTAGATTTTAGGGAGAAATCTAATTTTAATTATATGGAAAAATGTAGTAATGAATGCAAAACAGAACTACTATTAAAATCAAACGTTTTTACACAAAACAACAAAAACAGTTTAATCTGTTTCTAAAATGCATGAAATGATAAAAATTTTAATTTAACTGTAATCTAACGAAATAGAAAGCAATGAAAATAAAATTTTAAAATAAACTAAAAGCCTTTGAATTCGTTCAATAATTTACACAACACTTCATTCTTCACATGCAATCCTTCTGAGCCCTGAATTTGTTTAATCGGAGACTTTTGTGGACCAGAATCTGGAAGAAGTGCTTTATATCTTAAATGTCGATATCATGAGAGACCGAAAAATAAAAATAATTGATTTGTTTAGTATGTCATGACTGAAGAGCCGATCGTATGTTTGAGACAAAAATCTAATAATTCAAAAAAGTGTAAGAATTTTGGATTCGATAACAGAATACTTGATGTGTTTTCAGTGCGCGAACAGAAGGCATAGGATTCTTGAGATTCTTTTCAATCACCAAAACTTTTTCATTAGAAACACAATTCTTTGTGAAGCAAAAGAATTTAAGATTTTAACTCAAGAGTGTATAGTATTTTTGCAGTGAACTAATGGTCGGAAGTGATAAATGAATTTTGTCGATGACATAAGAAAAGCAAACTTTTATTGTTAATTATCTTAACGCTTGGGTAGTGTACAGTTCAATACTAATTGATTTGTGTTGTAGTCAAACAATTGTCACATCAAATTCAACACTAATTTTGATCAAATAGTGAACGAAAATTAAGCTATAATTAAATAAATAGCTTTAAGTGCGAGACGACTATCACTATTGAAACCTAAGCGCCAGCGGTTCTAAAGGCCAGTCCCTATGAATCTATGGATTGATAGTTTGTTCACAACTCACTCTACACTCTAACCAATGATAATAAAATGACTTAAAAGCTATGCATTCATTCACTTCTCACTTATTTCTTGGTCATATGTATAGTGAAAATCAATTTCACAGTTCGTATGTATGGTGTGATAGGAAGCGAGTCTTGAATTATTGACAATTAATCCCCAAAAAACTCTATTCCAGGAAGTGATCTCTCCTTCTCTCTCTCTCATACTGTACTTATTTTTTATTTTTCATAAAAGCAATTGAAGAAAATTCACTTAAAAAGTCTAAAGACTCTCTCTCTCTCTCTCTCTCTCTCTCTTTCTCTCTCTTTCGGCTATCGATTATGAATTTCTCTCTTCCAATACAATTCTATATTATATACAATACTATATATTAGAAGGAATATCATATACATGTACATTTACTGTGATATTTCAATACATATACGGAATAAGTAAAAAAATTCAATAATTCTCATAAACACAATAGTCATAAAAAGTATTCATATCTTATTCAATGTATTATTTTATTCCAAACACAACAACAATAACAACAACAATGTATAAGAAGATAGTTATTGCTATTTATTGTCAAAATTGATTGAATAAAAACATAATCTTTTGTTATTATTGAACGTAATTTAAATAATGATAGATAGATATGGGACTAGCGTTTGAATACAACTAAATCGTCTCATTATAGCCAACGTTACAATTCTGGTATAGTATATGCAAAATCAATGGACAAGTGAATGGATCGGCTCTCTCTCTCTCTCTCTCTCTCTCTCTCTCTCAGAGTTTTGAAATATATTGAGAATCATTAGAGCAAAGATCCAGAAGCGGAGCAAAACTTATAGTCGAGTTTTAATATATTATTTTGTTTGAATAATAGAGGGATAGAAAAAGTTTGTACTAATGTGTGAGTCATTTGATGGCAATTTTCTTTCCTAAAAGTTGACTTCAAATTGAATTTTCATTTAAAATGCAAACTAAAGACTCGGGAAAAGAAGAAGAGCTGTTAATAACGATTCATATATGCATTGAAAAGAGTGCATAAAGGCGTTGATTGGATGCAAATTCCATTAGCGATGCATTCATTGCAGCTTTTTGTATACAATGAGAGAAATATATTGTAAAAACATTGATTACCACAAAAGTGTAATACATTTGTTCACTTAGTTTTACAATACATTGAGAGAGTAATACTCGTGATTACAAATCGATAGATTACTTCTCATTATTTGTGTCGAAAACATATAAAAATTTTGTGCTCAAGAGTTGTTTCACTCATCTATTCGTCTATATATTTTAGTTTCAGATATCGATTTCAATTAAACATCAAAATACATACCAAAACTGCACTCAATGAGCGCACTTTACTCTCTCAAAAACTTTGTTTTTACGCAACAAATCAATATTTGTCTACATTTTATTTAAATTGTATTTTTAAAAACTATTTGGTGACAGAAGAGTTTGACTAATAGTCTTCATCTCTAATCTATTCTCAAATTATTACATAAAATTGATTTGAGATCACATTTGCAAATATAATATCTATTTAAGCAAAAACTTTGTGCTTAAGTTTTGTTTAATATATAATGTAATTATCTAATCAAGAAATTTGTTATTCTTTAAATAACATCTTTCGATTAATTTATTAATTAATAAAATTATTAATAACTAAAATAAAAACATGCATAATAATAAGTAATTTTACCCACAAACAACACTAGTATTAATTTATTCA